TTCTCTCACAGAGATTACCACAATAGCCTAACTAGTCCTAGTCTGCCTTTTTCTTTGATCCTTCACTTCATTCTCAGCACAACAGTCACAGTGATCACTTAAAAATGGAAATCAGAAAAAAGAAAATATTTTTACACTGAGGCAAGGATGATTTTATTCAAAGCCAGTACAATAGTGGCATTGTAATAGGGGAGAGAGATTTGGCTCAACTGCAAATACAAGGACAAGTGGGGATTTATAGCCAAGGAGCAGGTTGAGGGGGGCAGTGGATGGAAAATTACTAAGAGGAGACATCAAGGGCAAGGGGATTTTGCTAAATTGGTTTTACGGTATTCTCACTCATACATCAAAAGTGGGGGATGAGGAACTCTATCAGATATTAAGGGTGATCAGATATCAAGGGTGGGGAATTCTTGCTAAACTTACTTATCAGAATTCTCAGCAAAGACTAGGTAGGGCAGTCCAAAGACAGAATGGGGTCAAAGGTCGAGGCCTAGTCAAAACAGGGCTCAGAGGAACCTGACTAAAATTGGTTAAGAGGAGAGTCCTTGTCACTCTCCACTGCTGAGAGCTTTCTCGTCTCATCCAGAGTATAATCCAGTGAAAATGCAATATGAGCCTACATTCTGGCCACCTAGCCTCTAATCTCCTACTACTCTCTCCCGTTTCTTTCTGCTTCAGTAACGATATCTTTGCTTAACAGGCCAGGTGTGCTCCCACCTCAGGGCGTTTGCATCTGTTTTTCATTCTGCTAGAAATCCTTCACATTGATACTTAACTAGGTTCACTCCTCACCTTCTGCAGGTCTTTCTTCAAATGTCACCTTCTCAGTGAAATGTTTCATAACCACTTTGTGTAAAATTGTAAAACCTCCCTCCCCCCAACTTCCTGTACCTCTTCCTTATTCTCATTAGCACTTATCACTATGAGTAACTCAAAGCATATTTATTCTTGTTTATTTTCTTCTTTCTCCTCCAGTAGAATTTAAGCTGTATGCATGCAGAAGTTTTGCCAGTTTTGCTCACTGGTGTATTTCTAGCATCTAGAACAATGCCAGGCGCAAGATAGGTGTTCAATATTTTGTTGTTGTTGAATGAATGAATAATGGAATCCTATATAGCAGTGAAAGTGAATGAACTTTGCATGTATCAAGATAGATGAATCAATTTGACTGGCTTAAGAAAAACGATAGATGAATCTAAAAGTGTTTGTGTTGAGCATATAAGTCACAGAAGAACATATAAGTCACAGAAGAACATATATTTAGCAGATTTCGTTTACATAAAGATCAAAAACCTTGCAAAAGTAAACACTTGAGATTTAGGATTACATACATATGGAGTAATCATCTAGCTAAGCAAGGAAATGCTGAAAACAATTCAGGAAAACGATTTGGGAGCACTGTGGACAAGGCTTTCAAAATTCTGGTAAAGTTCTCTTTTGTAAGCTAAGTGTTGGGTATACGGGTATTCGTTTTATTATTCTTAAACTGTACCTATGCACACATTGTCTTCTGTATATACTATATATACAGAATTAAAATTATTAAAAGTAATCATAACTACTGGTGGGAGGTACAGCACACCTGTTACCAAGTAAGGACTCGCTGCCCAATGCACACAGAAGCCAATATCATGGTTTTTGACAAAAGAAGGCTTTATTCTTGAGGTCAACTGGCATGGAGACAGGAGGCAAGGCACCTCAGATCGGTCTCCCTGATCCAGGCATTGGCCATATGACATGGCGACAGTGAATTGGCTAAACCTGAGTCAGGCCGGACGATAGGGCGAGAGAATGGACGGGACAGTTCCAAGTCAGGCCGCATATGTTAATGAAGCAAGACTGATTGGATGGCTCTAAATCAGGCCATATGACTAGGCAAAGGATGACTTTCTGGTAAGTCAAGAGCTGTGATTGGTTGGGTCCCTTGATGGAGAATTTTGAAGCTCCTGCGGTGCCTAATATCACCTGGAGGGCAAGGCCCTCTCTCTGCGCATGCTCTGCTTACATCCTAAACGATAACTTTGAAATAACTTTAGATGGGCAAATAAACCAGTTTCAGCTAATTTTAGACGGTTTCAAACCAATCCTCCTACAGGCATCTAAATTCGGGTTTTGTTTTTTTCAAACCATTTTGCCTGCCTAATAAAACAAGTCTGCTGGTTGATTTAGGCAGCACCGCCCGCACTGGGTGGAGAACACCTGCCTCACCTGTCCCGGGTGCCCTCCCTCGCGCTGGAACCCCGCGCGGAGAGCAAGACGCCAGAGCAAGGTGAGAGCTGGTGCAAGAGAGGCCGTTATCCCCCGGAAGTGCGCGCCGCGGCGCCCTCTGGGAAGTGTAGTCCGCGCGGGCCCCAGGCATGCCGGGAGTCGTAGTTGTCCTGGGGCTCGCGGGGCTGAGGAGACAGCTCGCGGCCTTTCTGGGGGGCTCGGAGTGGTTGGTCCCGGCTCGTCCCGGACGTCCCGTTTGGGGCTGAGACGCTCCCGGTTGCCTTTTCCGGCCGCGGTCGGAGCCCTCGCGTCTCTCCGAGTGAGTGGGGCGGCGCGCGGAGCCTCGGC